GCCCGGGACAAACTGTGATGCAGCCTGGACTTGACGGGAACAAAGAACGAGAGGCACTTCAACCCCCACCACATAGGAACATAGCTTCCTCCCAAGGAAATTCAAGTTTATATCAAAATGTTTTGTGTTATAGACATTTTATCATTCAATAAAGTTGCATTGTGCTACATTTACTGTCTAGTAAGTATATGGAAGATGAGGATGAGAGCGACTTCATATATTTATAATAAAAGCAAGTCAATTCTCAGATTTGTGTCATTTCACGAATCTTCCAGAGAAAACCTTTAGAAGCTGCATCTCATTCTTTGCCAGATGCATGTCCAAAGATTTTCCTGAAATACAACTAACTCCGAATTTTCCTCAGAAAAATTCTTTCCTAATTATTTTTAATTTACTGACATATTAATTGGATTATTAATGGAGTCGATACTATTCCACTATGCTTTCTATCCTCTGGTGATTCCTATTCTATGTTCAGGTTGAATTTTACATTCCCTGTAAGATAAAGAACATGTGGTGTTTGTCTTTCAGCGTCTAACTTGCTTCATTTAGCATAATGTCATTTATTTCCACCCATTTTGCTGTAAATGACTGGATTTCATTCTGCTCTCTGGCTGAATAAATTTCTGTTACCAAACAGATCACTTCAACATATTGGGGCATGTAAACTATATGACAAGTGTGGGAGTGATATATAGAAGATGTTTAGTAACCGTTCATCAGAGAACTAATGCAAAGTTGGAGTGGACACAGCTTCTGGTTTGACCTAGACAGCACCGGTTCCGAGCTATTGTCCTGGGAAAATTATTAACAGTGTCTTTTTTCCCCCCTCACCACAAACACACCGGACAAAGAGCAAAGTGTGTGTTTATCTCAGCCAATGCTTTTGTTTGAAGGAAGAACTTGTACCTCACAGAGGAGGCGTTCAAAGTCTCACGCATTGAGCCTTCTTTGCACTGGGCTCTTCATGGAGAAGGGAAAGGCCTGCTCGTAGCATAGATTCCTAACACATTCCTAACACTTGCAGATTACACAGACCTTAAAATTGCTAGTACTCTCTCTTACTTAAGTACTGTGTGTGTATGTGTGTGTGTGTGTGTGTGTTTCCATATTAACTAATTTAAAAAAAGACATATGAGGTAAGTCTTAAGTCAGAATATTCAAACCCCAAACCAACAGGATACCTAAGATACTGCAGAGATGCCCCCCACCCTTGAGGCTTCCCTTCCTGTGACCTCATCCTATTATCAATTTGGGCAATGAAACTTTTGCTTATACTTCGGAGCTCAAGAATGGATCAAGGGTAACACCCTGGCCAGGAAGCCCAGTCCTGCCACACTCATTTGCCGGCTGAATGCCAACAAATAGGTAACCACCAGCATCTTTCCTCTATATTAACTCCTCCTGCATCCCTGCCCCAAGTAGATGGCAGATCTATATGCCTGTTGTCATAACCCTTGTTCCGAATGTTAGCTCTAGTGTCTCTTGTGTATGTGCTCAGAGTGGAGTTGATGGTGAGATGCCCCCCAAACAGTGATTTCTACCTTCTTTTGTGCTATCTTGACTCCTAGGGGCCATCATCCTAACCAACAGAATACCAAAAATATGGTGGGCTGCCACTTCCATGAGTAGAGCACATGAGAGTCTGACTTCCATCGTGTTGATGGACTCTTCTCTTTGCTAGTTTGGATGAAACAAATCACCTATGGAAAGGCTCTCACAGCAACGGATGAAATCTGGCTTCAAGACAAAAGCCAATAGGAAACAGATGTCCAGTCTACAGTAACTTGCGAATTATTGAATCTTGCCAACAGTCACATGAATTAGGACTTGCATGCTTCCTCGGGTGAGCTTTCAGATAAGACTTCAGCCCTGACTGACTCTGATTGCAGCCCCATAATAAAACCCGAGGATACTGCTAATCCATGCTTGAATCTGACCCACAGAAACTATGAAGCAATCCATTTCTGTAACTGGCTACAGAGAAAGAGATAGGTAACACAGACCTCGAACGCAGACCAGCCAGAATGAAAGACACCCGAGCACACAGTCCTCTGACTCAAACTTTGATTTCAGGGTCACATGAAGGGGGAAAAAGGCACTCGCAGAGTGCCTACTACATGTGAGGCATTCCATACGCTCTTGTTTCATCCACACAGTAACTTACCAAATTCAGAATTATTAATCCCCCTTTATAGGCAGTAAAACTGGAGATCAAGTAACTGATTCAAAATGATGAAGCTAAGCCAAAACTAAGTCAAACTGGGAACAAAAGCTTCAAAACTCTGTTGCACTGTGGGTCCACAAAATCCAACACTGCTGAGAGAGAACAAGGGAAGAAATCCCCAGGCCAGGAGAGTGAGAACAGGTGGTCCCCAGATCCAAGAAAAGTGGGGAGTTCTGCAAAGTAAGGTGAAGAAGAAAACTGGAATGTTTCTCTGCTGGATCTGACCTCCAGGGTTCTCTTGGTCTCCTTGGGAAATTGGAAGCACAGCAAAGATAAATTTGTTTATCATAAATCCTGGGGCTCTGAACATTGCAGAGAAATGTTTGAAACCCACAGATAAAATTCCATAGTCAGGATTTCATGGGTTGTCCTAAAGCCACACAGCTCTGAGTAACTGCCTAAATCAGACCTTCTCAAAACACAGGTCTGTCCACTTACCCTGCCCATCTCAGTGTAAGCACCCCTTCATAGCAAAGTCCCCACATAGTCCTCCCGTCCCATTCAATGTACTCTCTGGCAAAAGTTTGCACCTCCTGGAAGTTTCCCATTAACCTTGTAAATCCCCTCCACTCCAGGAGCTGCATGCATTGGCCTTCAAAAACCAAAAGGGAGACAGGGAAAGCTCACGGAAACCCTGCAAGGAGGTTGAGGTGATACAGGCCTGTTCTTAGAGAGGAGCCCTTTGATAAATGAGCCATGAGTCTCTGAGAGAGAGAAAACAGCCAAGAAGTCAACCTCTTCCTCCCCTCAGATTTATGAATTTTCCAGCCAGAGGCAAAAGCATCACTCAGTCATGATGGAAGTGCAGAAGGGTGAGAAGGCACGTGAAAAGACCAGAGATTCCCTTGGCGTGGAAATATGTCTGTTTTATGTAACATACGTGGTCTGTGTTCTAGAGAGCTCATTGCATAGGAAACCCATTTAATTGTCCTCATAAAATAAATACTTCCTTTACATTAAAAATGCAAAAAAAAAAATGGATATGCTCCTTGCCTGGATTGCATGAGACCAAGGTTAAAAGTTCCAGTATGATTTTTGCTAGTAGAAAATAACTTTGATTCCTTAGCCCAGAGTTCAGATTTTTCTTGAAAAAAAAAATTAAACATAAAAATTGAGAGTATTTGCAATATTTGGGTTGCCATGGACTATTGGGCTAAGGTACTTAGTGCGTAAGAGTGTTTCTAGTCATTCAAGGCAAAATGGGCTGCAAAAACATTCTGGAAGATAACTACACCAGAGCCATAATTGTTTGAAGAACTTAGCAATGTGTGTTCTGGATGACGTTCTGCATAAATGCCACGTGATTCATGCACTCAGTGATATTCTCTGTTTAGTAGTTATTGGCTGGTGTGGTTGTCATTCCAGGAAAGCTGTTAAACAATGTTGTGATTGTGGAAGGAAGAACAAGGGCCGAAAGACGTCGACATCTTAGCTGTGAGGAAAGAAATACACAAAAGGAAGTGAGCACATCTCAATGTGCTGTGTGTCTCAGGATATAGACTGCAGCCAAATGAGATGTGTGGAAAGAGATGCTCGCCTTATCTGGACAACCTCATTCATCAATCAGCATTTGCTGACCAGGCTGACCAGGGACAGGAGAGCATGAAGAGCCAAAGAAGGAAGTACTGGAATGGGGTCTGACAGCTTCATTTTGACATAGAGTCTTCTTGGCCTTCTGTAAAATAGGACTGATACTAAATTTTTTTCCAAAACCATGTAGTTGTTCCACTCGTCATTCACTTATTTTGATCACTTTCATTTCCAAGGCATTTGGTACAATGATAACTGCATCAACAGCCCTACCTGCCCTTAGGAAACTCCTAGTCAAGGAGGTAAGACATGCACATGGAAAAAAATTCACAATTTTGTCAAAAGGACTGCCATATTAAAAAGTAGCAAACTAAAGAAAATGGCATCACCAAGCTGCCAAAACTTTAGTCACATTAGCAACTTTCTTTCAAAGCACAATATAACACAGTAAATTCCTTCCTGTCAGTCCTATTTCTAGTACTATCTGCCTTCCTATTGCTATATTCTGCTGGCCTAAAGTTTTTCATTCATTTTTAAGTTATTCTCCCTGGTGAGATATAGATAGATAGATAGACAGACAGACAGACAGACAGACAGACAGACAGATAGATAGATAGATAGATAGATAGATAGATATGCATGGTATATGCACACATATGTGAGCTTGTAGGCACAGAGGCCAGAGGAGAACATTAAGTGGACTGTACTGTTACTTAGTCCCCTGAGATAGTATCTCTCACTGGACCTGGAGTTTGCGTTTTTTCTGAATATGCTGGTATCTAACCAGCTCCAGTGATGTCTCTTTCTCTACCCACACAGTACAGGACTTACAAGCATATACAGCCACACCTGGTTCATTATGTGAGTGTTGGGGATAAGAATTCAGAGCCTTATACTTGTTCAGCAAGCGCTATTACCCACTGAACCATCTTCCCAGCCCCTCTTGTGACTCCAACTCTTTGTAGATCCTTCTTAAAGAAGGAATAATGTATATAAAAGGATATGTTGATAACTTAGAGAAGTTGGTATAAATATGAAAGTTAGTGGAGTATTGGTGATAAACATAAAGGATGGGGGAAGGGTTGGTCAAAATAAAGTGTTCATGAAGAAACTTCATGGGGACCTATGATCTTTTTTTAACTAAATGTTTTTTATTTAAAAAATTTTTATTCATTTTATATACCAACCACAAATCCCCCTCTCATTCCTCCTCCCACTCCCCCACTCCCACCTAACTCCCAACCCTGACCCATCCTTCATCTCCTCCTCCAACAGGGTAAGTTCTCCCATGCGGGGAGAGCAATGCCTGATACATTCAGATGAGGCCGGACCCAGCCCCTCCCCGCTGCCTCAAGGGTGAGCAAGGTGTTCCACCATAGGTAATGGGATCCACAAAGCCAGCTCATGCAGCAGGAATAGATCCTGATCACACTGCCAGAGGTCCCTCAAACAGACCCAGCTACACAACTTGTCTCCCATACGCAGAGGGTCTAGTCCGGTCCCAAGCAGGTTCCACAGCTGTCAGTCTAAAGCTCGTGAGTTCCTTGGAGCTTGGTTCAGTTGTCTCTGTAGATTTTCTCACTGTGATCTTGATGCCCCTTGCTCATATAATCCCTCTTCCTTCTCTTTGACTGGACTCCCAGAGTTCAGTCTGATACTTGGTTGTGGATCTCTGCATCTGCTTCCATCAGTTACTGGATGAAGGCTCTATAATGACAGTTAGGGTATTCACCAATCTGATTACCAGAGTAGGCCAGTGCAGGCACCCTCACCACTATTGCTACTAGTCTAATCTGGGGTCATCCTTGTGGATTCCTGGGAATTTCCCTAGCACCAAGTTTCTCCCTTACCCCATAATGTCTCCCTCTATCAAGATATCTCTTTCATTGTTCTCCCACTCCATTCCTCCCCCAGCTCGACCATCTCATTTCCTCATGTTCTCATTCTCCATCCTCTCCCCTCTATTGCCACACCTCATACCCAGTTTACTCATGGAGATCTCCTCTGTTTCCCCTTTCCAAGGTAATCTGAATATCCCTCTTAGGGTCCTCCTTGTTTCCTAGCTTCTCTGGAGCTGTGGGTTGTAGTCTGATTATCCTTTGCTTTACATCTAGTATCTACTTATGAGTGAGTACATACCATGTTTGTCTTTCTGAGTCTGGGTTACCTCACTTGGGATGATATTTTCTAGTTCCATTCATTTGCCGGCAAATTTCATGATGTCATTATTTTTTTACAGCTGAGTAATACTCCATTGTATAAATGTACCACATTTTCTTTATCCACTCTTTGGTTGAGGGGCACCTAGGGTGTTTCCAGGTTCTGGCTATTATGAAGAATGCTGCTATGGACATAGTTGAGCAAGTGTCCTTGTGGTATGGTTGAGCATCCCTGGGGTATACGCCCAAGAGTAGTATCATTGGGTCTTGAGGTAGATTGACTCCCAATTTTCTGAGAAGTTGCCTTACTGATTTCCAGAGTGGCTATACAAGTTTGTACTCCCACCAACAGTAGAGGAGTGTTCCCCTTGGAAAACCTATTATCTTAAGACCCAAGTAAAAGAATATAAGGGAGGGATAGTAAAACAACACACATGGTATGAAAAATGGGACGTTGGATATGAGAGGTTTAAGTGAGGATGAGGAGGAGGATTGAAGAAGATGGGCTAGAGTGTGGATTAACCAAAACTAAGGATATGTGATAAAGCCTTATAAAACCCCACTAATTTGTAAGATAATTTACAAAATGTTTTTTGAGGAATTTGAGCATAAGTACCCTGCATGGGTGAACAATTCTGCTTCCAGAAGAATGAGTTACTAAGAAAATCTCAGTGTCAGACATTGGTTACCTCCCAAGCTCTTGATCAGGGGAGCCCCAGAGGTACCCAAAATAATACAGAGTATTGTCAATGCTCTTTGTTACACACAATAACAGATGGTAAGACCATATAACTAAGACCATATAAACCATCCACTTTGCTCACAGGACATAGAGAAATCAATATTGAGATGACAACATTGTTAACTCCCTTACTGATGGCCAGTTTTCATGGTATTGGAAGGTGTTATGCAGGTTGCTAGAGGAGAAAAGACATCAATGGAAATACTCAGCACTGGACTCCGTGTGCTATACTACCAACCCTCCAGGTAAGATGTACCTGCTGGTACAAAAGTGGCAAGAGTGTTTACAGGGTAACTGACTGCTCTCTTGAATGAACCTGAAGTCTGATCTGTACTACAAGCATAGCCAAAACCCATGACTAAGGAAGTCACAGGCTCCAAGGAAGAACTTTTGTACAGGGTGATACCAAATGAGTTGTTTACATCAAATCCTGATTTCATAGTTTAAATATGTGTGGTACTTAGTGGCTTAGACCTATCATATTGCTATAACAAAATAACATAGATGGTGGCTTATGAATAACATAAATATAATACTCACAGTCTGGAGATTAGGATGTCTAAGAGTAAGGTGCTGACAGAATCTGGAACTGGAGACAGACTGTTCCTCATAGATGACATTTTCCTGCTGTGTCCACATGTGACAGAAAGGTCAAGGGAACTATCTGGAGTCTGTTATAAGGATCTGAATCCCACTCAGGAAGAATCCATCTTATGATCTAATCACCTCTAAAGGGCTCTACCTCTTAATGCTTATGGGGAAAGTGATTTCAACAAGTGAATTAGTAAAGGCACATTCATATATGTCTGTGGAACTCTCTGGCCATGTTTTATCATCTATAGAACTGGGATTCTGAAGAATCAGTTCCCAGGATTATGGAGAAACTCAGTAGACGTGCATGTAGAGCAGCTGGCACAGGCCCTACAGAAGAGTAGTCCCTCATAAAAGGTGACTTCTTTTCATTCCGAAATGAGGAAACCTAACTAATCCCATCCTCCTTTAGGAGGGGGGAGAAAAACATCTATGAAAAGAAAATTAAGCAACATCAGGAAAGAGTGAGTACATCTGTATAAGAACCCATTCCTGCTTCTGTAGGTATAATGGAATAATCCATGCCTGCATATCAGGCAATTAAGTGGCCAAGCCCCCCACCCTCAACCCCCAGACATCCATCTATGCTTTAGACATGGTGGTGTATATTAAACTTTTAGTATGCTTGGATACATAATTCTAAAGAAAAATAAGATTGAACTAATGGTGAAAAGTATAACATTTTAAGTCAAGTTTTGAATGGTTTTCCTAACAGAGCATTTGTGTACCTTCCTCTCTATACCTACATATGAACTTGAACCATTGACTCAATTTAAAAAAAAGACATAATGGAAAGAAATCCAGTGATAATTGGCAGCAAGAAAAATTTTATTCCCCCTGCCCTTTGCTTAGGCATAGAGCCATCAAAGTGTTATTTCATAAAATTTAATTTTTGAGTTTTGAATGATTTACAGTGAAGCAGGGTGTATAAATCAGAATGGTAACCATTGCCATGAATAGAGATGTATGTTTTTCCAAAATGTCTAAGTAAAATACTTTGAAACACACTAAAAGACCTGCACAGTTCTCCAAAGGCAGCCATAATTGAAGTTAAACATGCTTGTTTGGGCAGAGCGAGATTTACTGACACCTCCTCCCTCCCTTTCCTTGAAATAAAGTGATCAAATCTCCATCATCTCTTCTTATGAAAGGAGTTAATCACACCAGTATGCCATACTGAGCATCTAGCCTTGTTTCCTACGTTTGTAAAACTTTTCTGATGCCTTTGGGTGTGTCTTTAATTAGATGTGGTTCTTATACGTTAGGATGTCCAGAGTCACTGCATGAAAGTCCTACATATTCTACTAACAGAATCTCCCCTTTTCTTCTCTTCCATGTGGCTAGTCCATGTGTTACTGCTGCCTACTCTCTAGTCTCTCCCCAATTCCACTCTTACCAAGACCACAGGTTGACCCTCTGACTGTCCTCTTGACTCCACATGGGGAGTGTACAAGTGAGATGGCCCAAATGCAACTTGCATCAAACGCCTTCTTTCTTTAAACCCTCCCATTGCACAAGCCCTTCCACTGCGGCTCACAGAGCCCCCACCAACCCACCCACTCAGGGCCCTCATCTTCCTCAGTATTTCCTTCTGTTCTACAAACATATCACTTTGTATGTGTCCACTAATACAAAACCTGAGAAAGATTCTAAAACTATCAATAGAGACAGATTGAGTTCATATGCTACATCAAAATTACAGGTGGTATAATTATCATCATTCTAAATGCCTTTATCTGTGGTGGCTAGGGGTTACACATAAGTTTATCTTTTCCCATACTAGTCTACCTCCCTGGAATTTATGTTGTTTTAGAACTTAATTTACCTTACTTCAAAAGATTTTATGATACTAGATAATAGTTAGATATATTCTACAAAATTCCATGGATAAGGAAAGGACTTTCAAATGCAAATTCACAGATGACACCAAGGTTTGTGTCTTTGACTTTGTGCAGGTGGAAATCTCAGAAATCTGTATTCTACATTGTAGCATTCACACACAGTGACTAGCCAATCAAAAAGTTTGTTGAGTATCTGCTCTGAGAACTCTGTCCTCAAACACACACACACACACACACACACACACACACACACACACACACACACACCCCAGGAACTCTTGGGACATGGGCCAATGCAGACAATCCACTGCTGAAAGAGTGCAGCCATCGGGAAGCTCAGAAATCATCTGAGTCGAGAATCTGGTGATATTAAGAATAATGACCCAAAGCTTGTGGTAATAACGAACCAATATCTGATCTGAGTTAAGGCCCACTCCACAAGATGGAACCCATACCTAACATGCTTGTGTGGGCAAAAACCTGAGACTAGATAGGCCATAGGCCTAGGGGAAAACCAAATACATTTGTTCTGCTAATGGAATATAGCAATTAAATGATTCCTAATGACATTCTGCTTTACCCGTAGATCGGTATCTTGGTCAGCCCTCACCAGAGAAGCTTCTTTGTACTGTAGATGGGAAGTAACACAGAGACTCACAACAGGAGATGTGCAGAGAGTGAGACTTTGGAGCACACAGTCCTAAATGGGATGTCTTCAGAAAAGCCCATCCCCTCAAAGTTCAGGGACCTTCGTAGAAAAAGGAGACAGAAAGACTGCAAGAGCCAGCAGTGGTGGATGATTTCAAGGAAACAGTGTCTTCCAAACACAACAGAACTATTAAACATATGGACTCAGTGACTCACATATGGGCTTCTGAGAGCACACAAGTCCTGCACAGGCTCAAAAACAAAATCTGAGCAATGAGAAGGGAAAGTGGACACAAAGTCCCACCCCTTACCAAGAGGCCATTTGCAATTGATGCCTATTGGGAAAGGGGAAAATCAGTTTTCTCCAATGGAGTGTCACTGGGTATATCAAGCACACTCCAAGGCAGACCCCATGTACAGGAGTAGTTGACCAGCACAAAACAGATTCCATACTGGGTGAAGTTTTTGTTGTTGTTTTTATTTTGGGGTGTTTTGTTTTTGGTGTGCTTTTTGTTTTGTGGTTTTTATCTTCTATTTTTAGTTTGTTTTGATTTTTTCTTTTCTTTCAATTTTTGAGAAAGAGGGGGAAGAATATGAAATCAGGTGGATATGGAGGTATGGAGGATCTGGGAAGAGTTTGAAGGAAAAAAATTTATCAAGTATATTATATGGGAAAAGTTAATAAAAGAATAATTAATTTTCTTAAAGAAAGAAATGCTCAAACTTTAAAATCTCTTCAACCAGATTATAAATGCTATAGAGACAAATGTTACGGTTTAGATCTCAAATGTGCCCTCAAAGTCTATGTGCTACATGAAGTGGTTCCCATTGCCCCAGTGTTCACAGGTAATTGGATAATGCCAGCATTAACTCATCCATGATAGATTCAGAGCTCAGCGAACTGTTAGGAACTTCTGCACACATCTTTGCAAAGGTCTCTGAATTACTGGACACTGTAGAAGTGTGCCTTCATTGGAAGAAGTAGGTCCCTGGAGGAGTATACTTGAAGGGGTTATCTTGCCCTTCCCCCTTACTCCTCTCTCTCCTTCTACTCTCAATTCTCTCTCTCCTCCTGTCCTTCTTCCTCTCCTCTTCCTTTCTGCATTCCTGTTCCTTAACTCTCTCTTTCTCTTCCTCCCTGTCTTAGTTAGGACTTTATTGCTGTGAAGAGACACCATGACCACAGCAACTCTTATAAAGGAAAACATTTATTTAGGGCCAGCTTACAGTTTCAGATGTTTAGTCCTTTATCATCATGGCAAGAAGAGTGGCAGCATGCAGACAGACATGGTGCTGGAGGAGCTGAGAGTTCTACATCTGGATCTGTAGACAGGAGGAAGAGAAAGCCACTGGACCTGGCTTGATCATATATAGACCTCAAAGCCTACCTCCACAGTGACACACTTCCTCCAACAAGGTCACACCTGTGCCAATACCATACCTCCTAATAGTGCCACTCCCTATGGGCCAAGTATTCAAAGACATGAGTTTATGGGGATCATATCTATTCAAACCACCACACTCCCTTTCATGTTTCCTCCTCTCCTCTCTCCCCTGGCTCCACTCCCTCCCTCCTTCTCTACCTCCTTTTCTATCTCCATCCTGGTTACCACAATGCTACACCACATATTTCTGCCACATCATGGATGTTCAGCCTCATCACAGACCAGAAACATCAAAGCAAGTGACCATGGACTGACTGGCACCTCCACAATCTTAAGACAACATAAATCTTTCTTACTGTTAGTTGATTTTTGCAAATATTTTGTCACAAGAATGGAAAGCTGGTTAACAAAGCAGGAACCATAGCTATCCATCTTATCTGTCTGACAAATGTTCAGACAACAATAGGGATGGATTCAGTCCTAGCCACTTGAAGTTACATTATGATGGGAAGAAAATTAACAAATCATTATTTGTAGGAGAGGGAGATACTTGATTCTGAGAACTGAAATAGAGGACTCCAAGGGATAGGGTCGTCTCTTTGACTACTTTGACTACTTCCAGTAGTCTACATAAGTCAGGAATAGGTAAGCCAGCATGTGCCATTGCAGGGAAGAGCCTTACCAGCAAGTGTATGGTTGAGGCCAAGTCCCCAAAGCAGTAACAGTACTGAGGCATGAGAAGAGCAAAAGTATCTTCCATGCAACTAACAACATAAAGGAGCTACTGGAGACATGGGAGGGCAGATTATGGAAGGTCTTATCCATCACAGCAGGGAGTTTGTCTCCTTTCTAAGCATAGTAAAGAGCCATCAGGGCTTTTGAAGAAGGAGTGTGCTCTAGTACAGCTTTTCTGAAACTCATTCTGGGATCTAGAGGGATGTCTCCATGGTTAAGAGTGCTTGCTGATCTTTCAGAGGACTGGAGTTTGGTTCCGAGTAGCCATCAGGGAGTTCAAAACCATCTGTAACTCTAACTTCAGGTTATCCAACACTCACTTTTGGCTTCCACAGGTACACACACACACACACACACACACACACACACACACACACACACACACATATATACACACACACATATACATATATGTACACACATGCATATATACATACTCACACTTTTAAAAAGTTAGCTCTTTCTGGCTGCTTTAGGGTAGGGGGTTAGAAAACAGAAAAATACCATTAGGAGGCCATGACTAAGATGGTGAGCACACTAGATAGGATGGTCCCCTTGAGAGGAGAGAAGGACATGGCTGCCAGGGTGGAGGTGGATCTGCCAGGATCAGCAATGGGCTAGGCATGAAGAGAGTGAGAACCAAGGCTGACTGCATAGAGTTTATTCATAGGTGAGTTCTCAGGGCCCTGCTCAGTCCTGACCCAATCAGCACCTGGCAATTGTGAGTTAGCTGATCCAGAAGTGCAAGGATAAATGAGTAGGGTGCTCCTGACAAGCATGGTCGGTAGAAAAAAGTAGAAAACATGCCACCCATTTCCTGAATGCTAGCTAGACATTCTCTAGGGGACATTAGTGGAGAGGACAAGATGTTAGGCAGGCAGAGTACAGCAACACTGTGAGCTGGAGAGGCTTGAGTTTAAAACCTAGTTCTGGCATTAGCTCTCTGGGCATTCTTGTATTATTTTGTGAGCCTGTATGAGCCTTAGTTTCTCTAGCTATAAAATGGAGTTAATTACACCAATTTATACACCTGCCTCTGCTTGCTGTTCTCTAACTGTGTAATCATGGGCAAGTCAGGTGAGAATAATTTTGAGCCTCAATTTCTTCTCCCATATAATGGAACCACTTGAGAACAAACAAACCACTGTGCTTACCTAGAGCCACAAGTCCATTTTCAGAGTCCTAAGTGTCCACGATCTGAGTGCCAAGCTCACACGTGTGCATGGCCATGTTCCATCGATGTCCATAAAAAAAAAAAAATGAAGAGAAATGACTTAAAGATACCAGCAAAGAGAGACTGGAGATGCCCAGATGGTCTTTTTACACAGGCAGTATGAGGGGGAAGTGCTGCATTATGGGTGCTGTGGTCCTAATTAAGGATGACAGCTAGACAAATGTACTTACAGATGCAAAACCCAGAGCTTTCTGGTTTGTACCCGATCCTGTTCTAAATGCCCCACACCTGAGGCCCACTGGGTAGGCCAGCAGGCAGGTAAGAAGGAATGTGAGAGTATTCAGGGCCAAAGCACCAGATATAAATCCCAGAGAGACTGCCTTTCTTAAGCCTAGGGAATACCAGTCAATTTATACCTCATCATCTCACCCTGCGGGTCTGGTTAAAGGTTTGACCTGCGCCTCCTCTCCCTTTCCAAAATCTTGTCCTGTTCCCTCTTAACTTGATTTACTCTATTGCTCCAGCTGCTGACTTTGGCAGCTTTTCCAGCTCTCCACCGACCACTGAGCATGGGCACCATCCTAAATGACTTCCACTGGGCCACGAGGCGAGGGTTCCCGCTAAAAGCTCCAGAGAGTGCCCGCTCCCATAAATGGCCCTGGAAAAACATGCTGCCCCCAGCCCCACCTCTTCTCACTTTCAACACCCAGGCACACTTTGGGGCACAGCATGAAAGGCTGGGCTAAAGGGGACTTGCATTTTTACACCGTATTTGAGTTAGCTGTTTTATCTGGACGTGGACCTGAACAGGGAAATGAGGGGGAGAGAGAGGGGCTTTATGAACTCAAAACCAGAATAGACCATTTAAGCTGGGCTGAGTGAAGTCACTGAATGTGCCCTGGAAAATACTTTCAAGGCATTTTATACATTTTGCACCCAAAAAAACTGCCTTGGCCAAATTGAAGGAGCAGCCTTCAGATACTCAAATCCTCCATTTTTCCTGAGATTTTCCTGACAGTGTAGGGACTTGAGAAAACAATAAGAATGTGTCCTGAAAAGCTACATGAACATGTAAAAATTCACATTCTCTACAAATCACACACATACACATACACACACACACACACACACACACACACACACACACGCACACGCACACGCACACGCACACGCACACACATTTCTATCTGCTGAAGTCTTCCCTCAGTAATAAGGTGGGCTTGTCTCCACCTCCCATATGGCTGTCCCTGTCTCCATGTCCCTCCTGCCACATAGTTCTTTCCATCTTGGCTAAGCCTGCTGGACCATCCCACAGGAGTAGCCTGGCCTTTGCACTTGCTAGCTACATAATCTTTATCGAACAGTTGAAACGTCCTACACCTCAGCCATCTGTACTATAAAGTACAAGTAATATTTCTCCTTTACAGGTATATGAAAATGAAATGTAAAATGAATTTAAAGCTCTTAGGACTGTGGTCAGTAAGTTCTACGTGTTGGGAGTGGAAGTTGGCGGTGTGTGGTTTTGCCTAGTCATATAAATTTATGGGATTGCAGTTTATTTTCAATTGTATCACAAGCTTCTTAACACAAAACGTACATGGAGACAGATATAGATTCATATAGTCAACTGTCATACACCTTACTATCCTATATATGGGTTCACATATACGTTCAGACAGTTGACACTCATTTATCTGACTATCCTTGCCAGAAATTATACACACACACACACACACACACACACACACACACACACACACACACGTACCAGGCACTGTGTTTGTTGTTTTAAATGTTTGTGATGTTCAAGTTCATGTATCCAGCATGGTTAGCCCATAGTACACATCAATCAATCAAACACCAGTCTAGACATTCTGTAAACATGATTTCCCACTACAGCCAGCTGCTTTTTATGAAAAGGAAGTTATGAAAACTAATACTGGCTTTGTTGATTGAAAGGTCTTCAAAGTAGAGATGAGATTTCCCAGAAACAACTCCAGCAATTGACTGTGGTATCCTCTCCTGCCCATGATGTCCAGCATGTCTTGCCTGATGACCACCCCTGGATTTTAGGCTTGGCTAGCTAAACTTACAACACTGCAAGTCAATTCTTCTCTTTGCAATGAGTGTCTTTCTCTTTCTCTCAGCATTTGTGTGTGTATATATATATATATATATATATATATATATATATATGTATTCCACATGATACATATATAGTATTGACTTACGCATGATACATACATTATGTATGCAGGCATCTCTGCTGGTTAGGTTTCTAAAATTAGTGGAACCTAATAATATTACTATGTTATTTTAGCATGGTTATAAAATAGTATACATGTATGTGATGGTTAATATTATGTGACTATTAACTTTATGTAGCTAGATCTCACTGTCATATATGTGGTCACACATTTTTCAAGACATGGTAAGAGAGGGTGTTTTTGGAAGAAATTAACATTTAAATCAGTAGACACTAACTCAAGTATCTCCAATGTAGAAGGGCTTCATCTAAAAAGTTGAAGGCCTGAATATCACAAAATACTGACCTCGAGAGTTCTTAAATCAATGAGAATTTTGCTGCATTTGGGCTTTTTACTACAACATGAGCTATTTCCTGGGTCTCCAGTATGATAGTCTTTAGTTTTTAACCTCACAATTAGCTTTTTTTCTCAATCTTCAGCTACCTACCTAGCATCTGCCATGAAGAATCTGGATTTTCCAATCTTCAGAGTTGCATGGGGAAATTACTTAAAATAAACATTTTCCCTTCCCATCATCTTGGTACTGCTTCCCCGCAGAACCCTAACCTCCACACAATAGTCAAACAGATTTGATGTTGAGGGTTGCTAACACAACAGTAGCTCTTTGTATTTTTTACTAACACAGACATTGGTATCAATGATAGTGCAGGATCATTTCACATCAGTCTTCATATAATTAAATCAGGATTAGGGTTAATGTCCTCACCTGAGCTAATAGCAGCTGAAGACCCCAAGGTTCACACCTAGAAATCATTTAATGAATTTGGGAGGGTGGAAAATTTGAGCATAGTTGAGGACATACAAAGTCCAGTTTCCTTGCATCATGGAAAATTGAAGGAGACAGACACTTCAGGGACTTCCTTTCCAACAGAGCATGCTCACAAGTGCAAAGCAAGCCCATTAAAGCGGTCTCCACTGGAGCAAGCAGAAGGCTGTGAAGCAGGTACACAAGAGAGTCATCACCCACGTGCTGAAGGTCAGGTTTTAAAAGGATAAACGCTCCAGCAGGGAACATCTGAAATGCAGAGGTTACAGAGGGGCCTTTTGGTAGGTAGACAGTGATGAGCAGCCTGAAGTATGGCTGTGTTCATTCGTTAGCAACAAACAGTCACAGGAGGCCCCTCCTGTGATAACACAGGGAAGGACACTGCTCGCCCTCATTTTCTTAGTCTGCCTTCTTGAGTCAGAAACTTCCCCTTTATGTCAACAAAGTTTATGAGAATATTTAATTTATTATACACCATCTGAAGACCCAAGAGAAAACGCCAAGGTGAATTTTTCCATGAAATAACTACATCCCAGCTATCAAATTAAATTGAATATGCTGTGTACAGACAAATAAATCATATTATGATTAATTATGACCTTGGTCCCTGTCCCTCCTGCATGGAAGGACAGCCGGGAAAGAGCAAGCTGTTGGCGCTGGTTGTGTATTAGGCCTGTGATTTTTTTTTTCTTCTCTGATCACGAAATGGACTGGGCTTCTTCAAACTCAGTTCCTAAGAGTGATTCTTCCAAGAGCATGAGTTGCTCTGCTCCTATTTCTTTATCTGGAGGACATACAATTTTTGAGGAATCAGTGGTTTTAGATCAAGACTGTCAGCCAAACATTATCTAAGCTTAGCGTTGCAAGACAAAACAAAATGCAAATCAGAAAACAGTAATTAGCTGTATTCTATTCCCTATGAAAGAGGGAGCCAGGCATCTAGTACGGTGATCCGTTGTTTGCTGGAAGGCTAATTTAACTGGGCATTCTATATTTACCTGGGAACGCTCTCTGGAGTGCTTCAGCTTGGTCTCTGCCAGTCTTCCAGTTACTCCATTCTAATAGTTCCCCTACACACTTGCACACATTCACACACATCCCAAGCTCTTTGTTCCCCTGACTTCTTTCTGCATTTTCAAGTGGACTGCATCTACCATTAGCACCCATAATCACTCATTTCTGTGAGACAGGGAATCTAAGGGATGCTTAGTGTTTTGTTGCAGTAAATACTCAGAAAGCAACATAGTGTCTTTGTATGCTTCCTTCTTCCTCCAAGTTCAGCTATGTCCTCATGCTCCCCTACCTCAAGGGTCAGACCCAATTCAAAGATGCTTGCAGATGCTGAGGTCCTGTCTGGCTTGGGTGAAAGTCCTTATTTCACTGTGATGATTATCAGTGACTGTCAATTTGACAGGCTCTAGGCATGACTGTGAGGGAGTATCTAGGTTAGGTTAACTGAGGTCAGACTCAGCACCTTAACTGTGGATCATCCCATGGGCTAGCATTCTGGAGAAGACAAATAGGGAGCTGAGCACCAGCATCTGTTACTCTCCACTTCCTGGCTGGAGATGCAATGCCACAAACTTCTATCACCATAACTTCCCCACCGAGAAGGCCTGTGCCTGCAAACTGAGAGCAAAACTAAGCCCTTTCTCCTTGCTCTGCTTTTGCCAAGTACTCGTCACAACAGTGAGGAAGTACCTAATACAGGGACCAGAATGTGTCATTTCCCTGCATCCGAGAATGTGCTTTGGAAAGGGGTGAGATGATGTTTAAATTGTGAGACAGAGTGACCATGTGTCCCCCAAAACTGGAAAGGAACTATTCAAGACGCCTCCTGAGCCATCTCCCTGCTTCAGCTATTGACCTCTATAATTTACTCATCTGTAAAATAGCAACTTCAGTCCAGAATCTTCTTGTGGTTTCTGCACATAGCAAATCAAAGTAGAGTGTGACCGTCCCCCATTCCCCTTGCCTCATAGCAGTCTTGACTCTCCCCAGCACACAGCCAGCATTCTGTTTCTGCTTCTCTGTTCAGCCATTTCCTACTGAATAGAAGTTTCTTCTTCCAGAAACTTCCCTGGATAGTTATTCTACTTTTCAGCAGAATTTGAAGGTCATGTTGGCCTCCCCCGGCCTCCTTCCCCCGTTCCTTTTGTTGTAGCACCAAATCCTTCTAAACTTTTATGAAATCCAGTTGCTTATTATATGTCATCCTGAGTCCCTGTCATGACCCATCCTGAGAGCAACAGTTTGGGGATATTTTCTTCTAAACACAAAACAGAGCAGGGCTTACAGATGGTACTCCATAAACATGGAAGGAGGGAGAAGCCCAGAGATCTGAAGAGTAATGAGAATTTCCCAACCTCCATGAGGCTACAGGCCTGTAGGGGATGTGAGTGTCTAGGTCTTAAGTAGAGCTGGACTGACTCCTATGCTTAGGTGGGACACTGAGTCAGTAGCGCCAAGGGCTATGTGGCTCACTAGAAGTAATCACAGCATACACCAGGTCCTCAATACTGTGCCCTCCAGAGATGACACCTAAAGTGTTCTGAAACTCTAGGGAAGAGTAAACAGAGAATCAGCAATGGCTGAGTAGACCTGAATTCCCGATCATAATATAGAGTCTTAGGGCAAATTATGATTAAGTTATAGAAACTAGAGGTCAGCATTTCCTTTTAAAAACAGTTTCCCCTCCCCCTACTCCTTCCAGTTCCTCCCCACCTCTCCTCTCACCCACACCCTTTCTGAAATTTCTTAGAAAACAAACAGGCATTTAAGGAATAATAGCAATATAATAAGATAAATCAAAAACAAATCAGTATATGACAAAATGATCAAACACACATTCACATTCAGAGGAAGCCCATAAAAACCCAAAACCAGAAGCCATAATATTTGTGCAAAGGACCTGTAAGGTTTAAAAAAGGTGGGGGGAGGGGCCTGACTTAACATTGGACAATGAAACAAAGAACTTCCAAAGATGCTGAGTTCCCTTGTGCCGATCATCTACTGCTGGGCATGGGGCCTACACTTAAGAGTAGACTCCCTTGGAGAAAACTAATCATTTGCAAGTGGCTACCAATTAGAAATAGCGTCTGGGTTAGTAATGGGAGAATGTGTCTACTTCTCCTTTTAGCTCTGGTAGAGACCCATGCAGGCCCTGAGCATGCTGCCACAGTATCTGTGAGTACAGATGTGCATCAGCCCTGTTGTATCTAGAAGGCCTTGACTCCTTGGTGTCCTCCATCCCCTTTGGTTCTTATAGTCTTTCTGCCTCCTCTTACTTCTAATTCCCTGAGCCCTAAGGATAGAGATTTTATGGAGTCCTTTTTAGGGCTGAGTCTTCCAAGTTCTCTCTCACTTCTTGTATATTAACTGGCTGTGGGTCTCTGCATTTGTTCCTATCTGCTACAAGAGGAAGTTTCTGTGATGATGGCTAAGCAAACGCTTTCCTATGAGTACAACAAAATGTTGTTAGGAATCATTTTAATGCTATGTTCCTCTAGCTGCTAGTGGTTTTCAACCTTCCTAATGCTAAGACCCTTTAATATAGTTCCTCATGTTGTGGTAACCCCAATCATAAAATTATTTTTGCTGCTACTTCATAACTGTAATTTTACTACTGCTGTGAATCATTATGTAAACACATGATATGCAGGATATCTGGCATGTGACCCCTGTGAAAGGGTCATTAGACTCTCAAAGGGGTCATGACTCACAGGTTGAGAACTACTAGATACTAGCAGAAAGCAGTATTTTGTTTTCGCCTAAGTCCCTGACCTATCTAGTCTCAAGTTCTTGGCCACCCAAGCAATCCTGGGCATGGGTTCTATCTCCTGGAGTGGGCTTTAACTCAAATCAAATAGTGGTCAGTTATTCTCCCAAGCTTTGTACCACTGTTGCACCAGCATATATTGTAAGCAGTCACTCTTGTAAATCCAGCAGAGGACTAAGCCTCTGAAACTGTAAGCAAGCCCCCAATTAAATGCTTTCTTTTATAAGAGTAAAAGTTGCCTTGGTCATGGTGTCTCTTCACAGCAAGAGAAAAGTGAATAAGACAGTATCTTCCAGTACAGTGAATACTAGTCCATAGGGGAGAAGGCTCTAAAGAGGTATCAGCTTGACTTCTACAAGTTCAAGGAATTATGTAGGTGTTATCTTCAGCAATGGGGCCTAACTGTCAGTTTGTGGAGAGTCACCAATAGCCTTGGCAAAGCGCTTGTTTGTTTGGGGGTTCCCATGAGATAGATCTCTTTGGCCAAGAACCTGATTAGATGTAACCCATCCCAGTACTGGAATCTTCATTTGGTGGTGAGACATGTTCATTTGGGTCTCTGTCTTCCTGATTTTTTGGTGATTTCATTTAGATTTCTTTCATATATGTATATATTATAAGAAGCCTCTTGTTGCAAGATATTTGATTACACTATAAAGATATGTCACTGTGATTGGTTTTAATAAAAAAGCTAAATGGCCAATAGCTAGGCAGGAGGTATGTATAGCAAGGACTTCTGGACAGAGAGAGCTCTGGGAAGAAGAAAGGTAGAGTGTCGCCAGACAAATGGAAAGGAAGCAGGATGGGAATTACAGCACAAAGGTAATGAAGCCACATAAAAGAATGAAGATTAAAAGATGTGGGTTAATTTATGTTATAAGAGCTAGTGGGATGAGCCTAAGCTATAGGCCAAGCTTTTACAATTAATAATAAGTCTCTGTGCCATTTTTTGTGAGCTAGCAGCCCAAAAATAATCTGTCTGATCTATTGTATCAAGCTTCCATCCTACCTCTCAAATGGCTCTTAATTTTAACTGTCTCCCCATATACCCTCTCTTGCCTCCCTTCCCCTCCTCATTTGATCCTCACATTTCAGTCCTTTCTCATCCATCCATAAATATCTATTCTATTTCCCAGTCCTAGGAAGATACAATTTTATAGAGAGACACTAGTCCCTTACTTTCCACCTAACCTCTATGGTAATACAGACTGTGGCTTGCTTTTATCAATGACTTAACAGCTACCATCTACATAAAAGCAAATACATACCATATTTGTCTTCCTGGGTCTCAGTTTTACCACTCAGGATAATATTTTTCTAGTTCCATCCATTTACCTGTGATTTTATTTTATTTATTTATTTTTTTGGGGGGGTTTTTTTCGAGACAGGGTTTCTCTGTGTAGCTTTGTGCCTTTCCTGGAACTTGCTTTGGAGACCAGGCTGGCCTCGAACTCACAGAGATCCGCCTGCCTCTGCCTCCCAAGTGCTGGGATTAAAGGCGTGCAGCTGAGTAATACCCCACTGTGTAAATGTACCACATTTTCTTTATCCATTCATCCACTGACAGACATCTATAGAGTTAATTTCTGGCTATTGTGAGTAGAACAGTAATGAACATGGTTGAGCAAGTGTCTCTATGGTGTCTCTATGCATTCTATGGGTATATGTCTAAGAGTAGTATAGCTGGATCTTGAGGTAGATTGATCCCTATCTTTCTGATGAACTGCCACACTGATTTCCATAGTGGTTGTGTAAGTTTGAAGTCCCACCAGCAATGGACTTGTTTTCCCCTTATTCCACACTATCAACAGCATAAGCATTCACTTGTTTTCTTTATCTTAGTCATTCTGATTGATGTAAGATTAAATCTCAAAGAAGTTATGATTTGCATTTCTCTGATGGCTAAGGATGGTGAACATTTCCTTAAGTGAGTCTCAGTCATTTGAGTTTCTCCTTTGAGAATTCCCTGTTTAGATCTGTATACCATTTTTAATTGGGTTATTGTTTTCTTGATGTACAACTTTTTTATTTTTCTATATATTTTGGGTATTAGCCCTCTATTGGATGAGTAGCTGGTAAAAATTTTCTCCCATTCTGTAGGCTGCCAGTTGTCTAAGTGACGGTATCCTTTGTCGTGCAGAAGCTTCTCAGTTTCATGAAGACCCATTTATTAATTGTTGATCTTAGTGCCTATGTTAATGATATTCTGCTCAGAAAGTCTGCTGTGCCAATGAGTTCAAGGCTATTCCCCACTTTCTCTTCTATCAGTATCAGGTACAATGTATCTGGTTTTATGTTGATGTCTTTGATCCATTTGAAGCTGAGGTTTGTGCAGTGTGATAAGTACGGATCTACCTGGATTCTTCTACAAGCAGCCAGCCAGTTTGGCAAGTACTATTTGATGAACATGCTGTCTTTTCCCAGTGTGTATTTCTGGCTTCTTTTTTAAAAAAATTAGGCGTCCATAGATGTGTGGACTTATTTCTGGATCTTCAATTTTTATTCTCTTGACTGACTTGTCTGTTTTTGTGCCAATACCATGCTGTTTTTATTAAATATAGTTTGGGTAGAACCTGAAGTCAGAGGTGGTGATACCTCCAGCAGTTCCTTTATCATTCAGGAGTATTTTAGCTATCTTGGGTTTTTTGTTTTGTCTTGTTTTGTTTGGTTTTGTTTACATTTCTATATGAAGCTGAAAATTGTCCTTTAAAGATCTATGAGGAATTTTGCTGAAATTTTGATGGTGATTGCATTGAACCAGTAGGCTGCTTGTGGTAGATTAGCCATTTTACTAAATTAATCCTACTGATCATGAGCATGTAAGATCTTTCCATCTTCTGATATCTTCTTCAATTTCTTTCTTCAATGTCTTAAAGTTTCTTTTTCCAATTTAACTTTTTTCAATGATTATTTGTAGATTTCACATCATGCATCCTGATCCCGTTCATATCCCCATTCCTTTCCATCTGCCCTCTATCCTTCCAACCACACCCCCACTCTTTAAAAGAAAAGAGAAAGAAAAATCTCATTGTGGGAGCTGTAGTGTGACACAGTGAGTCACACAGTATACCCTTTAGTTCAAATATCATTACTTGCAAGTGTTCATTGCAATTAGTCACTGGTCTATTTGAGGTCTCTGGTTTTTGCTACACCATAGATGCTGGGCTCTCAGTGGGGCTCTTCTTAGATATCCTGTTATTGTCCTATGTCATGGAGATCCTACAACTTTGGATCTTTGAGGCCAGCCTCTTCACATGCTCCAGCAGATACAGATGGGGTGGATGATGGGATGGGTCAACTCATAGCCCTGGTTCTGGGTCTGGATGGTAACTGGGTTGGTCAGCCCACCAATTCTCCCTCATCTTCAGCACCACCCCAGATAGCTCACCCTATGTACTAAGCAGCAAGGGGTGAGGCCAATTCTGCTACTTTCATGTCCTCAGAGCTGGCTCACCCACACCTACACCACCAAAGCTCTACTGTGTTGGGCAGTCAAGGTTTATGGGCCACTCTGCAGAGTGCCACAGCTGGTGAGAGACAGGACCAGCTCTCTCACTCTTATGACCGCAGGGACAACTTTCCCATCTGCCACAAGCCATGAGGTGTGTGTGTGTGCCTTCTCTCCCTTGCCCATGCTACCATACGGCAGATGGGGGGGGCAGATCTCTCATGCTTATGTTCTCAGGGCCAGTTCACCCATGCCCTCATCAACAGGGTCAGCTCTACTGTGTTGCCCAGGCAAGATGCAGGGCCCACTCTCCCAAATGCTGTATCTGGTGAAGGGGCAGAGTCAGCTCTCTCACCTGCCACAGATGGCAAGCGGCAAAGGGGGAGGGCATCTTTTGTCCTTGTCATCACACAGCAGATGAGAGGTGGGGGGGCACTCTTCCACTCTCGGGACCTCAAGGGTAGGTTCACCTGAAACCCACCAGCAGGGTGAGTGCTACTCTGCTGCCCAGGCAAGGTGCAGGGCCTGCTTTCCTGAGTGCTGCAGCTGGTGAGGTGTCAGGCCAGTTCACAGGTTCTTATGACCTCAGGGCCAGCTCTCTCCCCTACTACAGGTGGTAAGGGGTGAGGCAGGAGAGTGAGGAGGGCATCTCCCCTTCACTCTCACCACCATATGGCAGATGAGGGGTGGAGCCAGATCCCTCCAGCTCACTCGCGTTTTCTAGGCTGGCTAACCCGTGCCCTGTCAGCAGGGTCGACTCTCCGGTGCTACCTAGGTGAGGTTCAGAGCCTGCTCTCTTTAGTGTTGCAGTTAGTGAGGGGCTGGATCAGCTCTCATGCCCGCCAAAGGTGGCGAGGGGCAAGAAGGGGAGGGCCTCTTTCCATGCCTATGCTACCACATGATAGACGAGGCAGGGCAGGACCAGCTCTCCCACTCTCACACCCTCAGGGCCAGCTTGCCCTCACCCCCGCCAATAGTCAAGTCTGTCATGCTGCCCAGGTGAGGTGCAGGGACCTGCCTTCTCTAGTGCAGTACTGGGTGAAGGGCAGGACCAGTGACCCCTAGTGTTGCAGCCAGTGAGGGGCAGGTCCAATTGTGCAGCCCCATTCTCTCAGCCCTTGATGGTAACAGGAGCCGCAGAAATCATCACAGACCATGGCTACAGCAGGCCCACAGGTGCAGACATGGCCCTTGGCAGCAGCTCAGGCTCATATATCACTGTATCAAGCAGGCCACTGACCTCAGCCCACTCCTCACTGCCAATACTGTTTTAATCACAATCAACATTTGAACATAAGTGGCTTAAAGAAACAGCCAGTGTGTTGTACATTGAGGATCAGCAGAGAGTTCAGATCACTGGAGTCATCTGGAGATCGGGCTAACCAATCAGCCACCATCTCAAAAGTGAAGGGTTTATGGGGGTCTTCTACAGAAAGTGAGTATTCCATCCCTTCTTCCTCTGGCAACCTATAAGGTCCTCCCAAGTCACATGGGATTAAGGAGAATAATCCTATCATGCCCATTCCCATGCATTTCTGCCTCTTGCCCTTGTGGTTTTTACAATATTCAGTATTCAGGAGAAAACAGGGATAAATAATTCTTGTTACATAATTCATTACACTCAGCAACAATCCTACCAATGAACTTCTACCCTTCCATTTTGTACATGCAGAAATGGAAAGCACAGAGACAATCAGGGGCCATGGCAAAGGCCCCACAATGTGTAGACACAAGAGCCAAGATGTCAGACCAGGCATGACTCCAAAGCCATTCTTATTCTTTCCACAACACCACACTGTCATTTATGACCACCTACTTTCCCTTTAAAATGAGCAGGCATTTCATCCTTGCCACAAACACACACCCAAATCAGAGAGTAGACACTTTGTTGGGATATTATACTTGAATCAGAGAAGAGGAATAAGTGCAGCAAATGTTAAATTGGCTCAATTGTCTTTGGCATCTTTTCTTCTGTAAGAGGAAAGAAGAAAAATAAAACAAGAGGAGAGAAGGGACCTCCGAGATTGCTGGGGAAGCTGGTGCTTATTTTTAAGGAGTCTGCAGAAATTGGGACATGTGTTAGCCTGCCCAGCCTGAATTTTATGTCTCATTGTGTTGACTCCATAACAACCACAAATCGGTTTTCACTTGACCATCCCTAGTTCTATTTGTAAAGACATGTATTAGAGAGACTAAAATATGATTATGGGATGTTTCTCCAAATAGCCAGAAGGGCAGTCATCTGTATTTCCTGGTATGGGCAGAGTACTTCCTAGTTTATGTTTCAAGTTATAAGTTGGGGCTTCCTTCATGCAAAACCTTGCACAAGATTATCTTTGGGATAGAAAAGTAGATGTATTTTCCCTGCTGCTTCAGGAATCTAACTTAAACTTTCTCTAAGTCAAGGCACTGGATTAAGTGTGTCATGTTTATTTGTCAAAGGCATTACCTTATTACATCTAATCTACATTCCAAATTTCAGCCTGAATCCTGAGAGACGTCTGAATCATTGGGCCTGGAACTGCCCTGGTATCATCTGCTCTCTGAACAAAAGCTCCATTTTTCATGGCTCAGAGATGCTAAATTCTGAAACAAAAGCCCTAAATGACAGCAGATCCCTCTGCAGAAAGACAAGATATATAAACACTGAGTTATGAAGCCACAGAAACTTTTCCCAGACCCACAGCAGCCTTTTCAACATGATTCCTGCACAGATAAAGCAAAGGTGGAAACATGGATGGGCCTGATCTGATACACTTAATCAACTACATGGATTTATAAGCATGCTAAGTCAGATTCTTCAAGTAACATAAGCAACGCTTGTGTTCTAGCCTTTGTACAAGACTTTACACAAAGGAAGCCGCAACTAGTAAAGTTCCTCATTGAAATTTTCCACTATGACATGTCCCTATCAGGTGTTTGAGCAAAGAGAAATAATTGCAGTGAGTGGCAACCCCAAGAGGTCTTTCCAGTTAGCAGTGCTCAGCTAAGGTCAAACCTAAACACTACAAGCAAGTCATCCCATCTTAAAAAAGAAGACATTTTAGACTTCCAACATGGGGAAGCAGGAACCTATAATGGAGAAGTGACAGACTTGAGCTGTTCACCTTACTTTTAGCAACACTAGGCCCAAACTCCAGTTCTTCTTGTATGGTAAATACATCCAGCCTGGGAAAGGGTATCCAACTAATAGTTAGTTCCTAGTTGTGAAAGGTCAACACATGGCCTTAGTCCTTAACTCTCTCTGCTTAGGTTTCTTCATCTAGAAGATTGGGTAGAAATATTTACTCCATGGACCTGGCTGAATCACAAGAGGAGACTGTTTCCATGAGACACCTCATATCTCTGATATCCCAGCAACAGGTCAATGTAACAGCTGTGTGCCATGAGTCTGCTTGCTTTACCAGGCATATGATCTCATAAACGGGCTTCTACCCAGACCCTTCGTGTGTCACAGCTGGCACCAGGCATATATTAGGCGGTCAGATATTTGGTAAATGAACTAATCATTTCTATGATGCATAGAAATTGTCCAGGACAATCACTTGGTATATCTTTCCAGCTTTATCTCATTTCTAACTTAAAATCCTAAGACTCTTCTATACTTTATAATTCTGCACTAGATACCAGCTATAAAACTCTATCTGTGAAACAGACAGAAGCTTTTTTAACAGTGAAAAGTATATAGAGGCCACAAATTCATAGACATTTAAAATAGATAAATAATATTATTTTTATTTATTCAAAAATAGGTCATTAAAATTCATATTTGTAAATTAAGTAACTGTTACATGAATAGTAAATAGACACCATTGACCCCCTCTACTCTTTCATCTATAGCTCCCCCTACCTGAAGGTCACCTCTCCTACTCCTTCAACCCACTGTTAAGGTAACCTCCCAAGTGCATTTTCTATGTCAGAGGGACCTTCTCCAGATAGCCATAGAAGTCTCCTTCTATGTACCACACTTGATTCATTGTTGTGCGTTCTTTGCATTCTACACAAATCACTCAGCTGGGACTCAAGTAGCAAACTACCTTCTCAATATCTCCAGATTAAGGAAGTCTGTGCCCTCCACTTGATGCCCACTGGCTCAGAGTAGTCAAAAGATCACATTAGTACATGCTCTCTGGGGCTCTAAGAAGTAAGACACAGAACTGACAAAAAGGCAGTGACTGATTGCCAATGCCTATCATGGAAAAAGGTTATGAGAATAGGAAATTGTCCTGGTTCTCTTTGAATGATGACTACCCTCAAGTGGAATTCAAAGCGGTAAATAAAGTGTTAACATAGACTTACCATCATCTCCAAGCCTGAGATAGCCCTTATACATGTGCCCACACATACTCCCACAGACACATGCACACAACACACACTCATACACACATACACATGCATACACACATATTCACAGTAGTCTCAGAAGTGGCTCATCCTACATTTTATACATTGAGAGTTATACATCCTTATTTTATACATTGAGAAGTTGAGATGGGAAACTCCTTTGTTAACAACCAAAGGACATTCCAATGAAACTAGAGGTCAAGAAAATAATTCAATCACTGTCACTGTCTCTTAGTCACCAAGTAGGAAACGAAAGAGATGTGAGCTGGGGGAGGATGTCAAGAGGGCTCTACAGTACACAGTTAATGGCAAAAGCTTGAGGGTTTAAAAGGGTATAAGTTTTTTGAGGTTTTTTTGTTTTGTTTTGTTTTCATCAGAATAACATGGCAAGAATAGCAGTTGGGATAGCAGGCCCTGAGAGCCTCTCACTTTACACACCAGTGTTCTAACAGATTTCCTCTTCATCCGGGCGCTGAGCACCATGGTCAGCCTCCCGTCCAAAATCTTCAAATGTGGGGAAAACACTTGGCTGACCCAGAAAGCTGTGTAAGCTATTGTGAGTTGTGCTAAGTGGGTGACCACAGTGACAGGGGGGCAGAGCTGGTTGGGGAGCCATCCTGAACTGCCTGCTGAGCAGACACTTGACACATTCAACCCAAATCCTGCTGCTTGCTCTCTGAGTGAGACATTTGGGCTCCTGGTTTGAAAATGAAGTACTCACTCTCATGAGAACCTGGCTCTGCCCTCCCTGTAACTCGATACTCCCACATCTCCACCTTCAGATTCATTCCTGGCTTTGCCTGGTGCAACATCTTAGCTCTGAGAACTTGTGATTTGTACTAGATTTAAAATAAATTATTTCCTAAAGAATAAATAACTCTAAAGGAAAATAAAATCTCCGAAATGAAGTCACTTTTAAGTATTCCTCAATTCCTTCCCCCCCCCCTCTGAAGAACCGAGATTAGCCAAGATGCACACCAATAGATTAATTAAAATTAATAATGGTTCATGGCCCCAAGCACTGTCAAAAACTTTATAAACACCCATTTATTTAAGCTCCATGTCAGGCCCATGAGTTGGTTTTTAGTACCCTACCCAGTTCTTACAGATGAGCACAAAAACTCAGAGAAGTAAGTGACACGTCCAGGGTTATGTACAGTCAGACTGGAGTCAGGAAGTGAGACACCTGTGTATGAAATTTAAGGAGGTATCCACTCTCAGGATTGTGTAAGTACAGGGTTATCACCTAAGAGTGTGAATGTCCCCTTAAATTTTCCATAAGCTTCTCTTACCCCATTTTAGTCTGGTGCCACAGCAGTAGCAAAACTGAGCTTTACCTTGGTGCCAAAGCTCCAGCTCAATGCCACCTGTCCTCCTATAGGATCAAAAAAATCTACCCATGATGTCTTGCTCCAAAAGGTAAGCCTCTGCACAAGTATCTTTAACACCTAAGATTGTGGGTGAGCTGCTCCAACCATCTGAGTCCAATAGGGAAACATGGAGCTGTTGTGTGTGCACATCTTCACACATGCCCACACACACCAGCACACATATAAACATACACATACCCCTCCTGCTATAAGGCACCAGCTGTCAATCATGTTAGATATCTCAGCACAATCCAATAAACTAAAAGGAAAAATGTCATTGTATCTGCCCCAAATATAAAGCAAGAAAGTGCTAAAACTCTATCAATTTTAAACCTAAGTTATTGACCCCTTTGTTTGAGAAAAGAAAATATAGAGCCAACTTCACATAAATGTAGAAACCAGAACCAAAATCAAGACAGAGTTGCATGACCAGTTTCCTAGCCCCAGCTCCACTCTGCCCTGGATTGGGCCGAGTGATCTAGACTCACCAGTGCAAAGTAAACCATGTTCCTCAGAGCAGTAGGCATGACTTCACTAAAATTCAACATCATTTCTGTTGGGCAGAGAGGAGAGACCAGCTTAGGCCCCTAGTAAACAGCACACTTCCCCAACTTAAGGGAGCAGGGGGTGGTGTGTGGGAATTCCACAGAGCCTGAGTTTGTCAAAATTACTCCAATTATAAGACATATTACCCAAAATAGCTCTTTTCCCTTGCCATCCACAATTTCCCATTGTAATTTTCATTTTCATCCAAAGACCATTTAAACCAAAAGGAAAATGAGATACTTACTCAGAAAATGTGTATCATCCAGATGTTGGACAAGATGCCAGGTCTGTGTGTCCTGATGAGTTGAGTTGGTGTATCAGACATCTGTTAGAAGCTGCTGAAGACAGTAAAGGGATGGGAAGATATCAAAAGAGGAACATGAGAAAAAGAAAGCTGTGATATATACACATCTGGAGAAAGTCAAAGATTATTCTAGAAAACAATCCCTTAAATTCTAATACCATTTTGTTTCAGTCTAAGCAAACAAAATTATAGTCTTTCAGTCTAGGATGTGGCTGAGTAGTAGAATGCTTGAGAAATATTTGTGAGGCCATGGGTTTCATCCCTAGCATCAGAAAAACAGTGACAACAACATCATAAAGTAGAATGTGTGCACTCAAGAGTCAGAGGCAAGCTGATCACATTGAATCAGCAGTCAAGAAGTAGACAGCAAACAGGAAGTAGGGCTAAGCTATGAAGGCACAAGGTTTGCCCTCCAGTGATCCACTTTTTCCAACATGGCTCTACCTCCTTGATATTTGACAACTGTCCCAGTGTCACAAGCTAGAGACCAAGTGTTCAAACACAAGGTGAAACTCCATCCTAAGTATTGTATTTTCTTCTTCTGCAGTGTAGCAACAGAAAATGGTGGGATTCCCAAGGTATATAAAGTAACATTTCATCACTTTAATCCATAAAAACTCATTAGAGCATTAAGTTTCCGGACATCACCTGGGAACTGTGTAGAAAACCAGGTCCCTACTGGTCCCTACTCCAGACCAAATCAATCAGTCTGTATTTCAGCAGGGCCATGTTCAGCACAGCAAAACTAAAACTTGGCATTCCTAGAAGAGAAGAACAATGACCAAGCAGACAGCAAGATTCACATGGACACTCTGGTTTTTTGTGTGTTTGGTTTGTTGGTTGGTTTTTTGTCCTTTGTTTTTTTACAGTGAAAGGAAAACAACTTTATTTTATGGGTTGGTATGTTTAAAGGGCAGAGTGTGGCCAGTGCAAGTATCAGGTCTTATAAAGAGCTTTAGAGGTCGTAAAGGTCATAGAGCCATCTCCTGAACATATTTCCCCCAAAAGGCATCTACAGGTATTTTCTTCTGGCTATCAGAAGACAGGTGAATCTACAGAGACAAGTGAATACCAAGGGGAAGATTAAGTGATTCACTGTCACCCTTGAAAACTTTACAGACACTCAATATAGCAACACACCAGGACTCCAAGGTATACGTTAAAGTCTAAGACACACCATCGTGACTCTAAAGCTAGGGACAGAAAGTAAAGAGACATTAAAAATAATAACCACACTACTCACACCAAGGCAGAACTGACAGTATGCTTAGCACATGCTGTGAGGTTTTCCACAACTTCTCCGCTGATCTTTACAGCAACCTAAAAGGAATGCATCATCATCTCCATTTTACAAATGAGAAAAATGACCCTCACGAAAGATCAGTAGCTCAACTATGACTCAGTAATAAATGGCAAAGTCAAGATGTTCAAAACCAAAGCCTTAGCTGCTAAATGACACTACCTGTAAGTGTGCTTTGAAATGTTCTTAAGGTAAAGAATCTACGAACTCTGGAATTGCTTAGATTTAGGGATATGCTTCTGGACATTGTATACATCAACCCTCTGGAGACTCTCAAGAAAAAAAACATAACTGTCTGTCTCTCCACAAGGTAATAAATATACTATAACCTATTAAATAAAATGTGAACAAAGAGAAAATCATTTCAACATATGAGCTCATGAACACAAAGCCCTTGCCTCTACCTCAGATCCTATGAGACCAAAACAGGAAAAATATTCCTTCCAGGTTATATGTTCTATTTGCAGTTAAGAATAACTGCACAAAACTCAAGTCCAAGTGGATCTAAGACCTCAACATAAACTCAGACACACTGAGCCTGATAGAAGAGAAAGTAGGAAATAAATTGAACACATTAGCATAGGAGACAACTTCCTGAACAGATCACCAATAGCCCAGACACTAAGATCAATAATTAAAAAATGGGACCTCATGAAACAGAAAAGCTTCTGTAAGGCAAAGGATACTGTTAATAGTACAAAAAGGTAGCCCACTGAATAGGAAAAGAATTTCAGCAATTCCACATCCAATAGAAGGTTAATATCCAAAATATACAAAGAACTCAAGAAACTAGACATCAACAAACTAAATAATCTAATTTAAAAATGGATATAGATCTAAACAGAGAATTCTAAACAGAGGAATAGCAAATGGCCAAGAGCCACTTAAAGAAATGTTCAACATCCTTAGCCATCAGGGAAATGCAAATCAAAAGGACTCTGAAATTCCATGTTACACCTGTCAAAATAACTAAGATCAAAAACACAAGTGACAGCTCATCCTGGAGAAGATGTGGAGTAAGGGGAACACTCCTCCATTGCTGGTAGGAATGCAAACTTTGGAAATCAATATGGCAGGTTCTCAGAAAATTGGGAATTGATCTTCCTCAAGACCCAGCTATATCATTCCTGGGTATGTACCCAAAGGACACTCTATCCTATCACAAGGATATTTGTTCAACTATGTTCATAGCAGGTTTTTTCATAATAGCCAGAAACAAGAAACAACCTAGATGTCCCTAATTGAGGAATGGATAAAGAAAATTTGGTACAATTACACAATGGAGTATTACTCAGCTATTAAAAACAATGACATCATGAAATTTGGAGGCAAATGGCTAGAACTAGAAAACATCATCCTGAGTGAAGTAACTCAGGTCCAGAAAAAACAAACATGGTATGTACTCACTTATAAGTGGATATTAGCTGCAAAGTAAAACATAATCATGCTATGGTCCACAAGCTTAAAGAGGCTGAAGTAACAAGGAGGGCTTAAGAGGGAGACAAGGATCTCCCTGGGAAGGGGAAATAGATTTTCCTGGTGGACTGGGGATGGGTAGGGTTGGGATCAGGAGAGATCAACTTGGGGGAGGGTGAAAATACTGGGAGAAACAACTGGAACTGGGGAGTATTTCAGGGGTGAATTGGCAACTTATTACAATGGAAACTCCATGGAATCTACTAAAGTAGCCCTAGCAAAGATTCCTAGTAATGGGGAACACAAGACCTGAACCAGCCATCTTCTGTAACCATGCAAGGCCTCAAGAGGAAGGATTGAGACACCAACCCAGCCATAAAATCTTCAACCTACAGTTTGTCTTGTCTGCAGAGTGTTCTGGGATTGGAGCCTAGCAGAATCATCATCAAAGGGACCAGAGAGACTTCATCCAGCAACTGATGAGAGCAAATACAGAATCCCACAACCAAACATTAGGCGGAGCTCAGGGAATCCTGTAAGGGGGGTGAAGAGGAAGGATCAGAGGAACCAGAGGGGTCAGGGACACAAAGAGAACACAGCTCAGAGAATCAATTGGTCAGGACTCTTGAGGGTTTGTAGAGATCAAGGAGCTTGTAGGGGTCTGACCTAGGTCCTCTGCATATATGTTATGGCTGAGTAGCTTGGTGTTCTTGTGAGATTCCTAACAGTGGGGACAGGGTCTGTCTCTGACTCCTTTGCCTGCTTGTGGGACCCTTTTCCTCCTACTGGGTTGCCTAGTCCAGCCTTGATGTAATGGCATGTACCTGGTCTTACTGTAGCACATTAGGCTGTGTTTGGTTGATATCCCTGGGAGGCCTGCCCTTTTCTGAAGTAAGATGGAGGGAATAGGGAACTGGGGGAGAGGGAAATAGAGGGAGAGCCTGGGAGGGGGGAAGGGAGGGGAAACTGTGATTGTGATTTAGTATATGCTATAATCATGATAATAATAATGATAACGATGATGATAGTAATGATAATAATAATAATAATAATAGTAAAAAGAATAAGTTCCTATTTGTCCTATGTTTGTTTGACCCATCTACACTGGATGTGCTTGATCACATGTGGGTGGGAGATATGTGGACAGGAAATAGGCCAGGACATACACTTGCCCCTGATTGGATATAGGCAGGAAGTACATCAGGATATATGCTTGTCCCTGATTGGACCTGGTGTGAAATGTGATGGCCCCATGGTTTTGCCTTTTTAAGCCCCTGTAAAATGCATTTCCTGTGAATTGCAAAGTGGTCCTAGCCAGAGCCCATCCTCTTGGTCAGTATTTAATTAAGCTTGCTTCAAATTTGGCTTAAGATTGTGGTAATGGTTTATTCTTGACCAGTGAGGTTAACAGAACAATGTCTTAAATACAAACCCAAACACACAAGCAGCAAACACGAACTATACATGTGGGATTGCACAAAAGACTGTACATTCTGTTCTTTAAGTCACATTCAGCACTGTCTAAAAAGCCAAGGATCCTGTGAAGTTCACTAGGCAGCAACCTAACTGAATCAATGAGCTTCAGGTTTGGTGAGAGTGAGCAATCTGTCTCAAATATAAATAAATAAAAATGGAATGTGATCAAGGAAAGAATACCAACGTCAACCTCTATCCTCTACTTCCACATCCATGTCTACACTAGTACACATGCATGTACACACCCATCCAGACTAACAAGTGTCTACACCATACAATTAATAAGATAAAATAAAAGGCTAACATGTAACTCAGCATAGTGTTAGATACATAGAAGGGTCTAAAGATGCCTTTGGTCTTGATAGAAGTAATGATGCTGACTACCAGTAGTCCTGCCTGTTGGAAGTGAGGACACAGAAAGTTCTAGCTCTAAGCCTCTTGACTAAGGCACAGGCAGAAAGATGGCACAATGGAGCAAATGTTTATGTTACCTAAATGTTTATGGGTAGAAGCCCATGCTTATAAGAAATGTTGAAGACCTAACATCAATGTGACTATATTTAGAGCTGAGATCTTTACCTGATCATAAAGGTACAGCCTAAGTGATCAGGGTAAGTTTCCTTATTAGAAGAATCACCAATTGAATATTCATTCATTCCCCTCTCTCCCTCCCTCTCTTCCCCTCCCCAATTCCACTCTTCCCCTCTCCTCATAGTAAGAGCATACAGCAGTCAAAAAGCCACAAGGAAGCCTTTACCAGGAATCAAATTGGTACCTCCAGATTGTGAAAAATATGTCATGCTCCTCTTCTTTAGTGGGTTTTGTGTCATCCCAGGCTGACCAAATACATAACAACCCAAGGCATAGAACCCAACAAGGAGAACACAGAGTGTCACCTCCCTCCATCACCCATGCCTCTCATACAGAACGAAAAGGGGAGTGTGCTATAGTGCAGTGGAATAAAGCCTGGGTGCTTCCCTCATGGAAGCCAAACCCCACCTTTATGGGCTTCAAGTCTTCCTCTCCATATGCATGGTCTACTGAAGTTTAAGATAAAAGTACAAAGGACAGATTCTTATTGGCCAGAGATCAAAACCAAATGTAAGGCATTTGCCAGTTCTAATCTTTGCTTAGTCTGAGAATTCTTTCCTGCCTCCCCTAAGAGAAACTTCTTTTTTGTCTTTTGTGTCCTAGCCACACCCTAGTGAAACTTCAGCTGGTGCAATTTTATTCATTTTTGTCAAAGCTGCAAATGTCAAGGTAGAAGCCCATGCTTATAAGAAATGTGCCCTCTTTTCATAGAACTCAATGTAATCTCTACTCTGAACCCATATTCACATCATGGGGCTCATATAGAAATCTCAGTTCTTCTCCTCCAGGTGTCTTAGGCACAGCTTAGGCTTGACCATAAAGCCAAAGCTTGGTAAGGCTGGAAGCTTCAAGGCAACTAGCCTTCGACTGTCACCTGACACACCCCTTCTGCTGGCATGCCCAGCACCTAGAATGAATAGGTGGTCCCTGCAGGTCCGTTCTGGTTCTATCATGTGTCCCAAAGGGTGATGTCTATGCAGGACCCTAGCTCCAGTTCACTTCAGAATTACCCCAGATCCATCTACCCAGGTATTTCATGTAGATGTTTCTGCTTGACTCATGAAACTTTTGCCAGACATGTTCTCCCAGCCCATCTCTGTGCATACACATGGTTCGGCAGCTCTTACTTCTCCAGCTAAAGCATTGTAAGCCAAGGCCAGCTTCCCTGGCCTAGGGAGGTGAGTGCTCCCAGAGTGCTCACATGGCTAATCACTTAAAACTCAGTCTTCATTGTATCAGCGGTGGCCCCTGAACATCTGGTTCAGACATCCCCCCTCCTCCCTCCAGCACAGTCTGAAACGTTCTACCAAATGTTTCAAGAGGGGAAAAAATACAACCTAAGTGGTGTTGCAGCTGGCCAGTGATCCAACTCTGTGGACAGACACCCAAGGACAATTCCACATGCAGCAGAGATCTGATTTCAGTGTGTTTGATTCCATGATTCAAAGCTAAACCCCCATCCTACCTTTTCCCTCCCAGTCACCCTAGGAGGAGGAGAACCCCAGACACACACACACACACACACACACACACACACACACACACACACACACTCTGTCACACACAACTAAACCAAAACAAACAGATTATAGCCCTAGAAACAAACGCCAGTGTCCAGAGCTGAGTTGGGGACAATGTATACCTTTCCTGTGGCCATCCATCAGCACCCTGTTTCATTTATCTGTTCATTTCTCAAAAGGATATTATTGGGGTTCACACTGTGTGCTAGGTTTTGCAAGGGAGAATTTCAGAGACAACCATGGAGATCACCTCTCATAGGCCTCCTTTGTTCAAGATCAGTCTCCAGAGAAGAGGTGTGACCTTGGTACCCTCACACCTACTTTAGCGATCTATAGCCAGGACTAGACGCTGTCTTTGTTACTCATTCGCATGTCTGAGGAAACTGAGGCCAGAGATTTGCAAACACAGGACAAAAGACAGATGTGAGGGGAGGAGGATGAGTGCAAGGGAGGTCTTGCTCCCAAGGTCACCTAAACTGCCTTCCCTTCACTTCTCCCCTCTGCCTACATCTGCTCAAAGCACTACACCCTCATTGTGTGAGTTCTCTACTTAGGGCGATTTTAGATGAAGTTGCTGGAGCAACTTCTCAGCGTAAGGCATACTTTTTCCTTATACACCCCCATGAAGGCCATCAAAAAATTAGATTAGTGGTTTTGACATTTTTTCTGCCCACTTGCTGGCCTAAGTCTCTGCATAGAGCCTCTATAGTCCTTTCTCACAGCCCATCTCAGTGTTTATAAGGTGGGAGAAGTTGTGGGACTTACCTGTCACTGAGCCAAGGTCAGGGGGAGCAAAGCCCGGCTTTATTAGACTTTGGAAAGTTTCCCAATAGGAGGTTACTTCTCACACACACATACGTTGTACCAGGAAACACAGTTTGCAAGAGTGTCTAACCCTGCTGAAAGCGCGAGCCGTGGCCAGTAACCCACACCTAATACATCACCATAAATCTTCCCCCCATCACCTTTTCTCCTCTCCTCACTCCTCTGCAGTGAGGCATGGGAGGGTACTGGAAGAGGCACCGACTTCTTACTCCAGGAGAGAAAAACGAACGTGCTGTACCCTGTGCTGCCTGCTGCTGGGATTTACCACATAGTAGGAGTTGTGCCTGTGTTATAGAAGGACCTCAGACTCCTAGAACCATGGGTACCTTAAAAATTCATCTATATGTGTCTCTCAGTTCAGAATAGAGGAGGCAGGAGGAGGCAGATGAAGCAGAGAACCCCCCTGAGTAAGTCCTCTGAAGCCACCACCCACCTGGCTTTGCTCACTGAGCACCACTACCTCGAAACAAAATTGACAGCTCTGTGTAACCAGTGCTGAGATTTCTACAGGATGATACCTACAATGGCCTTTACCCCAAGACCTTATAATGACAGAGCTCATTCTAAATGAAATCAAGCTACAGTGACCTGAGCTTGCATTTAGAGAAAAACCATCAGCTTGTAGTTTTTCCTTCCTAAGAAGAATATTAGCAGTCTAAGCATGGTAAGGCCAGACTCTGGCCCACTCTGGATTCTTTATCTTCTATACAGGGTTGATCCTCTTTGGGTCCCACATAGTCCTCCCTTGTGATCTGTCCCTTCCTTTCTGGCTGCAAGGTCATATTTTAAGCTTTAACGTGTACTTTCCTCTAAGCGTCTTTGTTATAGCAATCACAGGCCAGTTTTATATTTGAAAGAAAATGTAAAATGGTCAGATGGGGGTGTCTAATATACAAACGGATTAGCCTCATTGGCTGGAAACAGAGTGACTTGAATTTCCTGTGTAATGTTAATAAACACCCTATGTGGAGTGGTCAGAATGTTCCCTGCTTCACCATTTTATGCCTCTGCTCCATGGAGCGCATTAGCCTTGAGAAATGAGTCTGCAGGGAGCTGTTGAGACATTGGGATTTTTTTTCAATATAGCCGATCTCATGCAATAACTTTCCGGAAAATAATTTGCCTAAATTAAATGAATGATTTCCCATGGACAGAGTTCTAAATCCCAGTCTAATGAGCTTGGGTCCCTTTGAAGAACATTTAATCTTCCAAATGCTGGATATTAACTCCTTACCCCAAGGCACTTGGATAAAGACTTTCCACCATTATAATCAACAGAAAGCAGAGACAGGCCACCAAAGAGGAGAATATGCCTACACACTGTACATTTGACAAGGAGTAGATGTCCAGACTATATAAGGAACTTCAAAATCCCAATAGCAAATGAGTAATTCAATTAAAGAATAGGCCATAGCTCTAAAAATACATCTCCCAAAAGAAGCCTTCTAATTAACTAACAGATATGTGAAAAATTGTTCAATCTCTACAATCTCTGAGAAAATGCAGTGCACAACATGATACTATCTCACCCATTGCCTAATACAAAACAGATTAGCAGTAACATTGTGGAGAAAAGGGGATCTTCACATGTTGTTGGTGAATTTTCTAGTTTCTTTCCTCTGTTGCTATGGAAAAAAAAAACTCTGACCAAAACCAGCCTGGGGGAGGAGAGAGTTTATTTCATCTTACCCTTACAGTTCATCTTTGACAGAAGTCAGGCAGGATCCTGGAGGAAGGAACCATGGAGGGATACTGTTTACTGGCTTGCTCCTCTTGGGTTGCTCAGTTATCTTTCTAATACAGACTTGGCTGACTTACCCAGGGATAGCACTATCCATAGTGGTATGGGTCCTTCTATATAGATTTGCAACTAGTGAAAAGCCTCAAAGACATGTCCACAGGTCCAGTCTCATCATGATGATTCTTCAGTTGAGGGTCCCTCTTTCCAGATGACTCTAAGTCTGTGTCAAGATGACAGCTGAAGCTAACTAGAACAGTACGAGTGTAAATTAGTTCAGCCATTATGGAAAAATATCAAGGAGATTTCTCATAAATTTAATAGCAATCTCAGTCCTGGGTATATATCCAAAAGAAACAAAATTAGTAAGTCAAAAATACAAGTGCATTCCCATTTTTTGTGCCATATTAGTCACAACAATTAAGAAGCAGAAGGGCCAACATTCCCATCCACTGATGAACAGATAAAGAGGATTGATACAGATACTCAATGAAGTACTTTTCAAACAAGAAAAAGGATGATGTCTTTCTATTTGTGGTAACATGGACGGAAGTGGATCATTATTTTATGTGAAATAAGCCAGACACAGAAAGACGGGTGTTATATTATCTCATTTATAATTGAAGTCTAAGAGAGTTGCTCTCATAGAAGTTCAGCATTGGGAGTCTGTGGAGAATGCTTAGGGAGAAAGGGGTGAGGTGAAGTTGATCAATAGCTATTAAGTTTATATCTGTACTGTGGTAGGAGGTTCAAGCATGCCATTGCACAGTAGGGTGACAATAGACAACAATAAAATCCTATATACTTCAGAAACCTAGAAGAAGAGATTTTGAATTTTTTTCACCAGAAGGAACTCCTTGAGGTATGTGTGTTTACCTGACTAAATATTGCACAATGTATACAATACTAAAATATTATTGGTACAACTTTATGAATCATTTAAAAGTAAGTTTTAAAAAAGATTAGTCACAAAAAAGAATTTACAATGCTCTTTAATTCTTAAGACAAACTAATATAGAATACTATCATTACAAATGAAAACCTGAAGGCAATATTATACACATTTCAGCAGCAAACGTAGATCCATGCATACACGGTGCTGTGGTTTGGATGTGGAATGTGCCACACAAGCTGTGTCTAAGCACTAGGTACTCAGCAAAACTGTATGGAGAGGTTATGGTGTCTTTGGAACAGAGTCTAACTGTGATAGACAGAGCTCACTGTGAGTGGACCTTGAAGGTTACAGCCCTGATATATTTCTGGTCCCAGCTCTCAATCTGTCACTGCCAGTATTTAACCAGACACAAGCTCCCACAACAACAGACTAACCAATCCAGCTGCTGTGCCTTCAGGATAGCACCCCTGAACTGAGAGACACAATGAACCTTTACTTCATTACATTACTTTTGTCAGGGATTATATCACAGCAATGAGAAAAGGAAAAGATACACATATGTCTCTAAGGCCAAAGCTGAGCACTTAACCTTTATACTACAATGCTCAGGAACCTATGGGATAGAGCAGTGCATCACCTCTACATTGTAATGTGGAGAACCTACCTCCTAAACACAAGCCTTGTTATCTAGAAAGCAACATCACCAGTTCCAATGGTGGCGCACGCCTTTAATCCCAGCACTCGGGAGGCAGAGCCAGGCGGATCTCTGTGAGTTCGAGGCCAGCCTGGACTACCAAGTGAGTTCCAGGAAAGGTGCAAAGCTACACAGAGAAACCCTGTCTCGAAAGACCAAAAAAAAAAAAAACTTCCTAGTAATCACATGGCTGCTTCCATCTCTAATGTCTCTGAACCATTTGTCTTTAGGTTTTCAAAGTTTCAACACTTTGGCAAGTAAGTAAAATCTTTTGAATGACAAGATTTCTTTTTGAGAAAAGAGGAAACAACATGGGTAAGTAAAGGAGCGTTTTATCCTGATGAAAGGAATTCACAAAAGACAATTCAGCTGAGTGTCTTTGAGGCCGACAGGTCCAAACATGAGAACTAGTTTGCTTTTTTCATATGCCTATCAGCCAGGTCTATTCTAGCTTCCTGGTTCTTACTCTCTATTCTTGATCCCCACTCCTTACACTTTTCTACCTGATTCCAGACCGTAAACTTAGTCCATCCTTTGTAAGTATGTTTAAAAAAATAGTAATTAAAAGATAGAGCTTGACATAATGTACATGGTCTGAGACAAAAGACTGAAATATCATGAGGTTGGCATAACATTTGAGGTAAGACCTGAGATATGGTGGGAAGCCAATAAAGCATAATAGGACAGAGATACTATCGGCACTCTGCACGAAGGTTCTCAGACCAAAGTGAAACTCAGAAAACAAAATAGAGAAAAACTGCTCCAGAAGCTGTCTCATACGCCAATGGGCACGCACACACACACACACACACACACACACACGTTTGGTTCCTCAGGTGAGTAACTGCTGGATGGGCCAGCTGACAGGTGGGAAATCCTTGCACAGAGCTATGACAAGGGGAAGTCTGTGGGAAAAGGTGCTGTTATTTAGCTGGCCCACCCCTACTGAGTGAGTCCAAAGTTTCCCTTGGATTCATTCCCACCTGAACTTCCACTCTTGTGAGCTAAAAGGGCCTTTCACATTCATGTTTTATACAAAGAAAGAGATGAGGGTTAAGTAGCAGCTGCTCAGAGTTGGGTGTAGAGACAAAACACATACACATACATGTGTGGTTGTAAAAAGATTATATTTTTAAAAGAAACTTAAAACCTTCCATCCATGCTTCTCAGAATTGCAATCCAGCTAGAGTGTTGGGTAAGCAAAGCACTTTATGAGAGATGGCGAGAGGAATGAGAGCATGTTCCACAAAGCAGGGTGTTGACTGAGGAGGTGATAGACCCTTGCCACTGGCTGAGTACCCAGCCCAGAGGCACAAACTCTGCTTACACTGGGATTTCATGTTGAAGTGGAACCACAGCCTTGTGGGTCTAGGAAAATCCTTCCTGACATCAGCATTCACTGCAATCATTCATTTAATAAATAACTACTGAGTACCTACTATGTGTCTGCCCCTATTTGAATCTAAAAATTCATGAGTGGAGAAAAACATATCTCTTGTAGAATTATGTTCTGATGGGGCAAAGACAGACAGTAAGTAAACAGCAGGAAGCAGGGTCAGTGTGTCAGACATTGTTATCTCCACAGAAACACTGGAGCCAGAAAAGGAATTAAGAATTGCTGGAAGGGCTGCTTCCAGCCAAGGTGGAGGAATAGAGGCCAGGCTCACCACTTTCTCTGTAAACAGCCGAAACTCTGAACAACATAAGGGCTACAGTGGTCTTCAAGCCTCAGCTTACTTCTTGAAGAGTTTCTAGTGTAGTATAAGGAGCAGAAAAGGAACACAGGCAGAGTCTAACATGCTCTCTGACTTGAGAAAGGGATGCTGTGTAGTGCCTAGAGAGATTGCAGCAGATTGAATATTCAGAAAAGTATGCCAGAGAGTGTGGATGAATTTTTAAACAGTCTTATTAAATAAGAAACACAGAGCCAAATACAGAGGTAATAGCTGAAGAGACCAGAGAAATAGCTAATAGCCACGACTAGCCTTAGCTTACCACCACACCGTAGCTTACCACCATGCTGTAGGTTCCCCAGAGAGAGCTTCTTCCTGTCTAACCTGTGCTTTTATTGCCTTCCTGTTCTGCCTTCTCATTGGCTCTACACCCAGCCACATGACTTCCTTGTCACTGTCTGTCTATACAGACCTCCAGGTCTCTGTGGTTGGTACTGGGATTAAAGGCATGTGTCACCACATTTGGCTGTGTCCTTGAACACACAGAGACTCTGCCTGCCATGTGATCAGGTTACAGGCGTATGCTACCACTGCCTGACTTCTGTTTTATGGCTTGCTATGACCTCTGATCTCCAGGCAAACTTTATTTATTAACATACAAATAAAATATCACATTTCAGTGCAAATAAAATATCACCACAAGAGAGGACAGCTGTTCACAGAAAACTCAGGAGGTCTTCAGGATCCACCATGAGTACTTAGCAGAGTACTGATCACCACCTACACATAGGTGATCAGTACTGGGGAAAACTTATTCAGACTGGGGGGAAAATGACCTTGAGATGTCAGTGTGCTTGCTATGCTCAAGAAGCCTTGCGCAGCTTTAGGGGTCCAAAAAGAATGGTAAGAAAATCAGGGAGGTCATGGAAGTCAGTCAGAGTAGGGACTTAGCATTGGAAAGAGGTTAGCTTTACTCCAAGAGAGCTGTGTTCATAACAGAATCTTGAGGACAGATGTGGCATGACATGACATATTTATTTTAAAAGAGAATTGCCTTGGGTACTTGTTATGAAGACTGTCCTAAAAATGTTCATTTATTCAAAGGTTAGATCTCAGACTGGTGCTACTGAGAGATGCTGTGGCCCTTTTGGAGATAGAACCAACTTGGAGGTAGAATCACTGGAATGTGTCCTCTAAGGAGACTGTGGAACAAAGTCTTTACTAATTTAGGACTCCAAGAAAGACCATTCTCTCCCCAGCATTTTCTTTTTTATAGTACTGGTGTGGAAATATCTGAGTCCACAGTTTTATAGAGAAAGCAAAATCCAAAAAAGAAGTTGTTATTGTCCTCTAATCTGAATTTTAACTCTTAGAAAAAAAACCCATGTTCTCTGTGACCCAGCCTTATCTTCTAGAAGTCTTTAAATTATATTGTGATCTTTTTGTAATTATCACTCATGAACATTTTCCTTTTGGAAACCTCATCAGTAGGATAGCAACAAGTCCAGATAGAATTTAGATATTCTTGGTTCTTCAGACCAACTGTCACCAATATCCCTCTGGAGTCATATCTTATTAATAACAGGGGAGTATTAACATATAATTTATCATATTGATGAACAAACAAACGTGTCATCTTACATTTTAAATAATGTGTAATAATTCATTGTTTATTGTTGACCTTTGTTATAGTTTGAATGCTCACATGTTTGAACAGTGGGTCTCCAGGTGATGGCACTGTGTAAGGAAGCTGTGCAATGTTTAAGAGGTTGAAATTCTCTGGAGGAAGTGGGTCAGTGGGAGTGGGCCTTGAAGCCTTATGGCCCTGACCTACTTCCTGTTCACCCTCTGCTTCCTGAGTGTGGATGCAACATGACCAGCCAGCTTCCTGCTCCTGCCACTGTGTCATCTCTGCCTAGTGCCATGTCTTCCCTGGTGTGAAAGACTGTATCCCTCTGGAACTCTAAGAGAAAAATAAATTTTTACTC